GGTGCAGCAGCAGTTTTGCATGTAGGACTTTAGTAATGAATGCAACTATTGATAGTGGGGCTGCTCTGTCAATCATACGTAAATCAGACAGGGGGCAGTGGCGTTACTTTTCAAAGGTACCTGGCCACTATTTTAAAGGTGCTGAAGCATATTCTCTGTTAAAATAAGTTCATTGGCTCCTTGCTGCAGTGAACTGCAGAGGAGGGAGGGGAATGCTAACTAAAGTATGGACAGGAAGTTAACCAAAATGCCTATTTCACTCAAAGCACCTCTAATATGAATAGAAATGTGCAGCATGATTAAGGGAATGATTACTGCTCACATTTCTCCCTCCTCTTTATTTCAGAAAAAATATTTAAGGAAATGTGTTTCATGGGACACCAGGACAGGTTGGAACCCTTTATTACCATTATAAACAACATTCATTCAATATTCTGTATTCCCCTCTTTATTTGTGACTGTGACATTAAAGTATGTTTAAATCTGTGGTTTTTTTGTGCAGATCCGTTGCAGGTCAAGTGGTTAGTGACTGGATGTGAGACACGTCAGCGAGGAGCAAATCACACAGAGTGCCTCTGCAACCATCTGACGTACTTCTCTGTGCTTGTGGTGAGACATGCAGCAGATACTACACTGTTCTTTTTGAAACAATAAGCATTTTGAAAACCAACATACACGGTTTTACACAAACACAGACACTGTCATACATATTGCTCATTGCCCTGTGTCTGGTGACAGGACCTGGAGCCTCGCCCAGTGTGCCACCTCCTGGCACTGACCACCATTACATCTCTGGGCTGTGCTGTGTCTGTGATCAGCTGTGTTGCTCTTATCGTTTTCCTCTGCAGGAAGAGGTAATACTACTTTTTGAAAGCTTATTTAATTCTCAAAATATATAAAGAATTTTGATCAAATAAAAAACCCACTGATTTCCATTTCACTCTCTCTATAGCAGGCTTTCTAAGGAGCAGTCCACACCTATCCACTTGGGCTTAACTGTCTCTCTTGCCTTCCTCAACCTGCTCTTCTTTTTTACTGGGGTCCTGGCCAACGTGGGAGGGGAGAGTGTGTGCACCTGGGTGGGGGCAGGCCTCCACTATGCCCTGCTCAGCTCCTTTGCCTGGATGGGCATAGAGATTTTCCACACCTTCTGGTTGGTCTACGTGGTTTTCAACCCCTCGCCAAAGCCCTATGTGTGGTACCTGGTCGGTTTTGGTGAGTGTGTGAAGTAACATTTACAAAAGGAGACTTACTTCATAGAACATAAAGGTAAAGATAATATTAACGTTTGACCTTTGACATGTGCTTTACAGCTCTCCCTGCTGTGCCCATTATCATCCTGGCTGCAGTAGGTGACATTTATGGAGTGAGAGAGGTGCTGCCATGTGAAGACCTATACAGTCCTTATCTGATGTAAGCAACATTATTCGGACAAAGATATTTGCAGTGGAGAAACATATGCAGTGATGCCTGGATAATGTACAAATGCAAGCACAGTAAATCACACACCACATGTTTTCACAGTAGTCTTCAGCAGAGGAAGTGTAATTTCACTTTCAGAAAACGTGAGTGTATTTGTTGTTTTCAGGTGCGGGATGAAAGGTAACGGCAGCGCCTTGCTGGCCCACTACTTCACCAACATCACAATGCTGGCCATCCTGGTGTCCTCGGGCTTTGTGATGCTCTTCCTGGTCTATAGGGAGATACGCACCAGGGACGAATGGAGGCACAACCAGGTGGCTTTTCTCAGCATCTGGGGCCTCAGCTGCCTCTTTGGGACCACTTGGGGTCTGACCTTCCTGAACTTTGGACCTCTCTCTGACATGGTTAACTTCCTCTCCTGCATCCTCAACTCTTTTCAAGGTCTGTACCTGCAGCATACAGTTAAACAGTGTTATAGACTTCAGTCTGTCCAGATTGCATTTGGGATTTATATATGTATATATATATATATATAGGACAGACTTCATTTTCAGGCATTACACGGTGTAACTAGACCATACGGCTGCCATTGCTGTAGTTTTACTGCATTATTACCGCCTTCACAGACCGTTTAACTATATACAGACAGTCTTTGGACAGGCCTGTTTTCATTGTTGCCCAGAGATTGGTGACTGTGTATTTGGAGCCAGTGGTCCATTGTATCAGTGTGGGAATGAGACAATGGCCATGGTTAATCAAGGCCTTCTGTTACTTGTGCCTATCAGAAGGAAAGCTGTTTCCTCTCACATGCTGCATGCTTGTTTTTGATTCAGGTCCAAAAACGACTTATTAACCCCATTTTTGCTGCACACTGTTAGTTCAACCGGATAATATTCTATACCAACTGGCTAACAGTGACCGTTTAATGATACAACTGTTCTTTTATAGTTGGTGGATGTTGTATTATCAGTTAAGTGAACCAGCACAAAAACCTGAAACTAAATATGGAAAGTAAAGACATTTGGGGAAATCTACGTATTTGTTTGTTGGGAATCATACAGCATATGAAGATCGATACCACTCTCATGGCTGCTTGCTAAATATGAAGCTGCAGCCGGGAGCCAGCTAGTTTAGCTCAGCGAGTCTAAACATGGGGAAACATATATCCACACAGCTCTGTCCAAAGCAGGGCTCCAACTTAACTTGTTTCACCTCTATCCCAAAGCAATACAATTTAAATAAAATTAGAAAACATAAGTAAAAACTTTCCATCTGAATTATAAAAAATGGCTGATTTCTACATTAAAATGTATTGCACTTTTAACTGTAATTGTACCTTGGTTCTGCTCTGTTCCCCCAGGCTTCTTCCTGATGTTGCGGTTCTACATGCTGGACTGGATGCGGAAAAAGGCCGGTGGCTCTGCTGTAGGCAGCACCAGCACCGGATCTACCAGACAACACATGCTAGAGGACAAGAGTTAGATGGAAATCTTCTGGAAGTCAGTGAAAAAATATGGCTGGAGAGTAGAGATATAATTGACAGCTTGCTGGAAGTATTTTAATCAACCCCATCCTCTTAAAACAGGTTCAAAAAGATACTTGATTACTTGATTTTTCTTCTCTGGGACAGTGGAGAAGAGATGACACCATCACTCAGGAACTCATAATACAGGCCTGGAGCCTATATTTGCAGAATACCTAGACTGGGTCTATTTATAGAAGGGAAAGAATCTCTTTGAGAGTTTTAAATTGTACGCTGGGAATGAAGTTAAGCTTCCATTCTATTGTCTGTAAAAAAAAAAACTATATAATGTAATATACTATATATATTATTATTGAAGTTCTCCTTAAACCTCAGATAAGCTTTTTATTTTAAATTTTGTACTGTGTAAGTATTTGTTTTATAGCTAATTTTAAGACTTTTAGAGTAGCACTTTAGGTTTTCAATTAAAAAAAAGTACTTATAGAACCTCAGTGAGTTGCTGTTGTATTGCTCTGATATGCATAATAGAAGATATTTCATATACAGTATGAATGCATTGTAAAATAATAGCTGAATGTTTTATAATAGACTCCATGATGATTCCATATCTTTTCCAGACTGTATTCAGACCTTTAGTTAAAAATAATGAACAGAATAATGATCAGGTCTTCACCTTCAAAATGGACCAAAATGTATTAGTTAGTTAAATTAAACTTAGTTTGAACATTAATTTCATCCTCAGCTGAACAAGTGAGTTTTTAGATACTGTGATATTTGCACTTTTTATGTCACTCAAATTATGTATATATGTGTGTTTGTATATTTTTAAGTTTTTGTGGCTTTACATAAAGTCTTAATAATCGAAAGGCTGTGTGTTTTTCTAAATGTGAATGCGCCAGTGCAACGTAAGCACATTCGAGGCTTGCTGTTTTCCTGCTCAGTTGTCCCTCCTCCTTATCTTTACCCGTGTGTTTCCTCCCCGGAGGTTTTAGATTTGTTGTTCTCCTCACAAGCATGCTGCTTGTTTGCCATCGAAATACTCAATGTCTCTGCTATTTGTGCCTACGGTATTTTTTTCTGCCCCCCCCAAGATCACGATACTCTTCTTTCTTGGAAGAAGCCAACATAACATCAAACATCATCAGAAAAGCTGAAAACAACAGCCTTTTTTTACTCTTACAAGACTTTTATCTTCACTGCCAGCCAACACAGACATGACGGGTCAGAGTGTGATAAAGAAGGCCTCAAACTGTCCAGAAAAGTAATTGTACATTAATAAAAACATTACATGGTACCATGCTTCACTGTTCTATCTTTAACACTGGTGCAGATGGTTCTCACTGCTGGGCTGGTTCACTGTCTGTAGGTGGCACTCTCTGTCCAGCTGCAGAGGCTGTCACCGGCAGTGCATTGGTGCATTGGTTTGTTGGTAATATCTCATCTATGATGGTATCCTGCATCTTTACTCTCTTTACACCAAGGACCACAGTGCAAATGAGTTTATACTGTGTAATCCTTTACATGTAGCTGTGTGTCATTTAGTATCCTCCTTCACATAATGGCAAAAATAATAATAATAATTGAGCAACACAACAAAATGGGAAATTTATATTTAACTATCTAATACGCTGTATAAATTCAATGTAGCTTTGTTTTTCCTCTTTAAAGACACTGCTTCATTGTGTCTGTTTCCCTTATTGCCAAGGTACATATTGACCTAAGGTGGGGAACTGGGACTCCCTTCCAGCACAACCCTGCTGTTTACTCTGCGCACTAAATGAATGACTGGGTCCCGCACTGTACATCAGGAGCTCATGCCAGCACAGTATTGTGTTTGTGTTGTGCTCTGCAAAAACCCCAGTTTGTTGCTTGAGTGTGTCTGTGTGCGTACATTTGTTTTACTATCTCTTACACCTCACTAACACGATAATGACACATACTCTTCAAGGGCCCATCCCGTCGGCCCCATGCTCCTAGCAGGAGCGCTCTAATTACATGTCTGTTCTTCACACAGTGTGAGGCTTCAGGGCAGTCTCAGGGGACCCTTTATGTTCATGTCATAGAGAGAGACACTGATGAGGGAAATGACAAATCAGCTATGGTCTATAAAAGGATGATAATTCAATGTGTTCTTAATGAGTTAGTTTGTTTTTACCATGCCAACATATTTCATTATAAGTACATTCTTATTGTGACATGGTTTTCTTTATAAATTAGTCCATTTTTTACATTTCTCAATTAAATTGAGATAGAAATCTATTAAACAAATAATACGTCTGACAATAATGCCTTTTCCTGACGCCTGTATTGTTACACAGTATCAGCAGCACATCAGTAAATCAGAGTGAAATGTTGTGTTCAGTGACTGAAGGAATATTGTGTTCTGGGAATAATCCTAACACATGTGTGCATACTGTGGTCATAGGGAGCTCCTATAGTACCACAGCGTCACATGACGTCTCCTGTGCAGCGGCAGCCGCGTTGTTTACGCTCCTGATGCATTTGTGAACGGACGCCGTGTTGGCTGGCTGTCAAAACCGCTGGACAGGAGGCAAACCAGCACAGGTAAGACTGGAAACTGTTCCGAGGAATACTTCTCGTTAAATGGAGACAGTTTCCGCGTAGACACCAGAGACAAATGTATCTATGGCTGGATTTAGATACAGGACAAAAGGGAAGTCAGCGACAAGCTAACCGCAGATAGCCGCGATACCACCGGAGGTAGGAGGCTCACATTCAGAATGAAAGCCAGCGTTAGCGATGTATCACTTCTAACTGTGTGTTTTCTGACAGTGGCTGTGTTGTTTCATTAAGGCGAGGTGAACATGTCGCTTTGTGTTGCTCCACTAACAGAGCCGACCAGCTCAAAGAATAAGCTAACAGTTCACCTAACGCATCCATCAAATAACGGTAACAAGGTTTGCTAAACGTTGTTATACAAAAATATGGCTATTGTTATTAAGAGCTTGTTAAGCCTGTTATTAGACGCATCTATGGCTGTCTACTAATAGCAAACATATATGTATAACGTTATATATTTATCACTGTTTTGCTATTGTATGACGGGCTCCTCCTCTGAGTCCCTCCCGTTATCTCCATCGTTATCTCCATTTGCCCCGTGAACCGTAAAGCCCTCCTATGTGGTAGAATATATGGGTTTGGGCTCGGGTTACAAAGGGAACTAGACTTGACATATTCAGTATTAGTAAAATACTGTTTGAGAGAAAAAAAAAACACTCCCATTGATGTTGTGACAGACACAATTGTGACTTTATTTTGAAAGTCATTAGCGGAAGTCAGGTTTACTTCTGTTTCACTTGATACCGGTTATTTTTAGTAAGAAGAAGACGCTGGTCCGGATGCTTTGTAACGTTCAAAGATGTTTTAAATGCTCGTGTTTATTGTCATGTGGCAGACACGGGTCTCCCACTGTGTCTCTAACGTAATGCCAGTTAATGAGTGAGACTGGTCTCATCTGAAAGTGGCTTAGTCAGAGACAGCTCATCATTGGCCACCCTTTATCTGTGGACAGTACTGATCCCCCTTTTCAGCATGTTCCCCTTTCAGACATACATTTAAACCTACAGTATTTGTAATGGGGTATGCCATAAGACGCTGTTAGAATGTATACTGTAAATGGTTATTGACACTATATGACTTATGTAACTTATAAACTATAATAGTTATACTACACATCCAGGCTGGCCCTAACACTAGGGATGTGAACCGTTTGTTCTTGTTAAACTTTCTTGCAGAGCATCTTAACAAAGGGCTGTCTGTTTGTCAGGCACAACTGTACTCACATACACACGCTAGCTGAGAATAATAAAGCTACAGAATGATCGGTGTAAGTAGGCTCACAACTACCCATTACTTTCATTATTGATTAATGTGCAGATTATTTTCTCCAGTAACTGATTAATCGATGTTTGGTCCATAAAGTGCAAGAAAATAGTGAAAATGTCACAGTTTCCAGAGGCCATATTGTCATTATGACCATTATGTAATAAAGTAACAGCTTGTTTATCCTCACATTAGACACACACATCAGTCACATTACATTATTTCTGCTTGATAAATCCCTTCCACAATTAACTTAGCTGCCAATTAACTGTCCGTCTATCAACCACTCACTGAATTAAATGTAAGAACAGTTATTTTGTTCTTATTATTTGGGTTTGGGTTTATACTCAGCTCCCCGTTTGTCTTCAAGGTTTTAAGCCTTTAATAGAAAATGGAGAAACCCGAGAGAGGGGACAAAATTCTGCCTTACATTTGACCTACACCTGTGCAGCCACCAGGTGGCAGCAGCCAACAGAATTTTTTCCCTTTAAATATATTTAGGAAACCAAGATGTCAACCAAACATCAAATTAACATGTCAAATGAGTGCACCAGAGCGCTGACCTAACTGCTGAATGTCAGTGCTTTCTTTGAGGTAGTTCTGGCTGTGTCACCTGGATGAAGTATCATAAGGGTTACTGCACATCACGCCCATGTTACTTCTTCTTCAGGATCACTAACGGAGTTGCATAACGCTTGACGCATTTCACAGGCTGACATACACACGCTCACACACACGTATTAAGACTCACACCAGCACCCCCGACACCTTTAGCTCCTAGCTTGAATGAAGCGTGCTCCGTGCCTCCACTGGAGACTGCTGGGCGTTTTCTTTTACCTGTGTGTGGGAAAGTGTGTGTTGTTGAGTTATGAGCATGAAGTGAACAGCGCTGTGGTTGTTGTTGGAGTCGTCATTGATTGGCCTGTTCTCAGCAGACAAACAGGTGGTGTGCTGGTGAGTTAGTGCATGTGGAACAGATGCCTAATGATTCACAGGAGCATGCGCCTCACATGCACACGGACACAAAAACACAAAGCACAAGCACCAGTGCGCTGTGCGACAGGCCCTTCAGTCCCATGTGTTATTGTCCTGTAAATTGGACATTTCACACCCACATCACATACAGCACCCCCTCTGCTGTGCTAACCCGCTCTTCCCTCATCTGCACGCCGGTAGTTCAGATCATTCTCTGAAAGGAAAACCGTCTTCAGACCAATTTCACTCTGTCACTTTTAACATGCGTTATAATGGGATTACAGGGCAAATATCAAACTCTGACAATAAATCTGCTAATGCAACAGCCAGTTCACCAAGTCCAGTGATAAAGTAAAAAATATTTCTCTGGCTTTACATCTTAATGTGTATGTGCCTGTACAGAGGTGGCACAAGTACACACATTCTTTATTCAGGTAGAAGTATTGATTCAACTGCTTTACTCAAGTAAAAGTGAAAAAGTACAGGCTGAAATGTACTCAGGATAAAAGTGAAAAGTACTCTCTGAAAGACCAGCTGTTTCTGTGCAAAGCTTCTGAAACTGAAACCTTTACATATGTCATGCATAATATGCACCGGTGTTAGGATATTGGGAAGGTGTGCAATGATGCAGGAGTAGAGAGAGTACAGATATGTGTGTAAAAACGCAGGGGTAAAGTGAGCGTACTGACTTAGTTACTCCCCTCCTCTGGTGAGCTATGACACACAATGACCTTAAAATATGGTTGTCTGTCTCAGGGTTTTTTTGCGTGCTGCCCCGGGCTTTCTTGCTATATTTAAGATGAGACATGAAGACGTGACAAGGGGGTGGGTGGATTTTTAGTTTGTTTCTTAATGGGAATATTGTTTGTGTCGATCTCATTCCTGCACATGCTGACAGAACATGACAAGAAAGGTTGAACAGTTGCACGAGACGTACAACATAAAGAGTGCTCTCCTTCCGCATTGTTCTGTTGATTCATAAGTTGTTACATCTGGCAGTTCCCTAGTTCACAGACATACAGTGCTTGTACCAAATGTCTATGAGTAATTGCCTCATCACATTTTGAGCTGTTGTGTCATTTAGTTGATGTTGGTGCATGAGCATATGGCATTTTGTGCTGAATCACCCTCGGCATCATGGTACATAAATCATGTCTGACTGCCACCATGTTATGTTTCTCATCCTCCTGTCCTCTGGAGCAAAACAACTCTTTCCTGTTTCTCTGTGTAAGTCATGGCCCCTTTTTATGTATTTATTTGTTGACCAGCGTCTGACACATCACAGTCTAAATAGCAGTCACTCTTCTGACTCACCAAACCTGACTTGGTACTTCTGAATGTGTTGGACAGGTTGTTCCAGAGGTTGCCAGAAAGGGACAAGGGCCTGCAGCGTCCACAGTCGGCCCTCAGTTCCCGCCGGTTCAGCCCCGAGACGACGGCGCCATGACCGACCAGGAAGAATCCAAGCAGATGAACGGCAGTGCTGGCCCCTCTGCCCACCTTCTGGAGCCGCCCAAAGAGAGCATGCAGCTTAAGAAGGAGATCTCGCTGCTCAACGGAGTCAGCCTGATCGTAGGGAACATGATCGGCTCCGGCATCTTCGTCTCCCCCAAGGGCGTGCTGATCTACAGCGCCTCTTACGGCCTGTCGCTGGTCATCTGGGTCATCGGGGGCCTGTTCTCCGTGGTGGGGGCCCTCTGCTACGCCGAGCTGGGCACCACCATCAGCAAATCGGGGGCGTCTTACGCGTACATCCTGGAGTCCTTCGGTGGCTTCATTGCGTTCATTCGTCTGTGGACGTCGCTGCTGATTATTGAGCCCACCAGCCAGGCGGTCATTGCCATCACATTCGCAAACTACCTGGTGCAGCCGCTCTTTCCGACATGTGAACCACCGTATGTAGCATCCAGGCTCATCGCTGCAGCGTGTTTATGTAAGGACCTCTCATCTACCCTTTGTCCCACTGCTGTGTAGACGGAATACTTTTTTTTCCCTTCCTTCATTGTCCTTCATGGCTAACCTTTAGATCTAAGAATGAACTTCCAAGGGTTGTGTCAATGGCAAGCAAAACAGTTGGCAAACCCCAAAAGCCCTAGACTCAACCTTTTTTTACAGAGGAAGAGGAAGAAAGCGAAGAGCATCCTGGCAGATAACTATGGGCTGATATTTGTGTCAGTAGAAACTGAATTTGAATTATTTAGAGCTGAATCT